TTTGGACCCTCACTGCTTCTCTGGCCTTCTGGAGCTGTCTGCCCACATTCACAGGGAGATTTATGGCAATGTTTTCCTCTCTCCTAGCTGAGCTCAAGTGGCCAAGGGACTGATCCAGGAACATGATCCCTCAGAGCTGAAAGCAGAAAGCTGCAATGGGACTTACCTGTCACTGGAGAATATCCCTGTGGGTGGAGAAGGACACAGCAAAGCAGAAGGCTGCTCTGCCTGTCTGATGCAAACCAGTATCTCATTTTTCAGAGCCCCACTCTGCTCCCCCACAGCTGAAATGTGCATCTGGGCAGGGGATCCCTGCTCAGGGACAGGTAAAAATGAGATAGTGCTGGTTTTTCCTGTTTGGAACAGAGTTCTACCTATGGTGGCCCACATTAGTGTGCCTCTCACTCACCAAAGCTAGCTGGGACATGGCTGTCTGGCACCAGGAGAGGAGATCGAGAGTTTTAAGATCCACCTCTGGCCCAGCAGGTAAGGGGGTAAAATGGCCATAAAAGATTAAAGCTGGCAGGAAAAAAATCACATTCATGGCTACTCTCAAGACCCATATACAGCTGGTTTCAAAGCTTATCTGTAGTCAGTTTTACAGTATAAAGTGTCTTTGTTTAGTCAACAGAACCTAATACATGTGATTTTGTTGTTAATAGAGCTGCAAGAATTTTAAGTACCTCTTGGGAATGTGTCATTTTTGGTTGGCTTTTTTAGGCATCACAGGGTGCTGAGTTTGTAAACAAGTACTGAATAAAACATTTAGCACACAGCAGCACTTTGTACAAGTGTCATGCAGGTTTCTAAAGTTTCAGAGTGAATAAATCAACTGCAAACTGCTGCCTGGCAGTTGACTTCGCTCCTTATAAATACCTAATTTGGACAACTTCACTCTGCACGTCCCATGAAATTCAAATACTGTGCATATGGTTAATGCAGGCGCACAAATCAGAGCTACAACAGCCCCTTTTATAAGCCTGGGCTGCTAGAGAAATGCCACAGCCCGGGGCAGGTCAGCTCCAGGTTGCCCTCCCTTTCTCCCGGAGGTGATCCAGGGAAACACCAGCAGGTCACTGTGCTCTGCTGCCTGGCCCCAGGGGAGGAGCAGGAGCCCCATGGTGACCCAGTTCACTTCTAGTTGTACTGGTTGGCAGCCATAATTTCTCAGGGGAGATTTAGGTCCAAACTCAGCCATGAAAAACAATCCTGGATTTATAAACCCAATGGAAAAAAGTAAGGGCTGATTCTGCCTGGTTTTGCAGCTCTCACCACTGGGCACGGGGTGGATCCACAACCTTTCCTCCTTCCCAGGCACAGTGCTCCTGGTCCAGCTCTGCAGAACCTCCACATGGGATGCAAACGTACCTGATCCTCCCAGGAAGCTCTTAGCAACACGCAGGATCCACCCAAGCTAGCCCAAAACTCAGCCCAGAGGCCCTAATCCTGGAAGGTGCTGAGCAACTCGGACTTCTGCCACTTATCTCTGGATTTTGGCACATGTTCAGCACGAGCAGGATCAGCTCCTTGCTGTAATAATCAGGGAATGAGGAACTCAGCTTGACTGAGTTTCCCTCCCACCCCCCAATGCAAAAATGCTGTACATTCCTTTATGCAGGTTTCCATAGAGTTGAACTTCTACTATTTTTTGTTGTTGCTGTTAAAGGGGTCAGCAATGCACTGTACAATGGGATCTGGCTGTCAGGAAATGTGGAGGAATTCAGGGACACTTTTAACATCTTCCTGGTGGGACTGGAAGGCAGCATTAAACTTAGCATCATGGAAATCTCCCAACCAAAGAGAAGAAAAAGCCTGGAGGAGTCCCGGGAGAAATTATGAAGACATTCTTCTTTGTTGATCCTAAGTTTAAATAGCTGTTTCTTTCCTACTTCCTTTGTTAAAATATGATATTCTGGCTTTAATTGCTTCAATCCTATTATTTGTTTCTTTTAGCAAGTGATTGTGTAGCCCCTTGCCGTGGGGAAATCCCCTGACTGCGGTCCGTGTTACTCAGACAAGTCCCCTTTCAGAAGAAAATGCCATTCTTAGCATAGGGAAGTACTTTAGGTCTAAAGGGGTTAAGAAGGCCTCCCTGCATTCAGAAACATGCAGGGGTCCCACCATGCCAGTTCCAGCCTTTTGAACTCTTTCCAGCTTTTTTTTCTTGCAACAAATCTGTCTGACTGCCACCAGGACATAGGAAGCGTGTGCCTGTCAAAGAAATCAAGTTTACTTTTTCTGACTTGTTAACAGAGGCAGGGTATAAATAGAGCTAACTCTGCTCGCACAAGTAGCGTTTCTCTTAAAATAAGGGGGTGACTTCCTAGGACCTTTAATCCAATGAGGTCCAGACCAAACTGCACTATCGACAGAGGCAGCAGAGGAGCTTGCTGAAGTTTTTACCAAAGTCAGGTGCATCTGGGTTCCTCAAAAACTTAAGGCTTACCAAAAAAAAAAAAAAAAAAAAAAAAAAAAAAAAAAAAAAAAAAAAAAAAAAAAAAAAAAAAAAAAAAAAAGCAACCCCAAGCAAACAAGAACTACTTCCAACTTGGACACTGCCACTGCCCTGGAGAAATTCTGAGATGTTGTTGGTGCTGTTGACTCGGTGGATGTGGATGTTGCTAGGGAAGAGCAGTGTCCTCTTGCTTCTGGAGGTCTCTCTGACAGGGAGAGCCCTACCTCCAATCCGCTACTCCCACGCTGGGATATGCCCCAATGACATGAACCCCAACCTGTGGGTCGACGCGCAGAGCACTTGCAAGAGGGAATGCGACGCTGACCTGGTGAGTGATGCACATTTTTGTGTCTCTGCGTCACGGGCGCTGCTGGGGCTGTCGGGGTGTTTGGTGGGAGCCTTCTGTCCCAGCTGGAAGGGCGCTGGCACTGGGCAGGACCCAGTGCAGACAGTGCATGTATTGACCCGTGACCTATATAACATAGAAAAGGTTTGATGAGTTATCAGTTAAGAGGGGAGCTGTGTGCCAGCTGTCACTTTTGCTAGTATGGGCATAGCGCTCGCTCTCTTTGATCCTTTTCTGTGTTTTCATGTCAAAAGAAATGTCTGAATTTGATACTCCAGAACTCAGCATGCCCTGGGGCCAATCTGTAGTATTTTAACAACGTCATTATGCTCTTTGTTGTTGGTGGCCATCAACAATGTTTTATATTCCTGGGAGGAATCCTGTATGAAATAGTTTAATTTAACATGTAAATCATCAGCCTTTGCTGCATTTGAAGCACAGAGCTTGCTTGGGGTGCAGAACAGGGCATGGCTAAAATGACCAGGCAGATGTTCTGTGGGATACTCCCAGCTCAAAATGTGTTTAGCTTACCACCCTAAAATTCATTTTTCAACCTGTCAGCACTGCCAGCTCAAGCTGGCATCTGAAAATACCTGCTTGTCTTACCTCTTACATCATGTCCCATTGACAAAGCTTCTGCAGCCCAAACCTGGCTGACAACATTTACTGTGCTGAAAAAAAAGTGTTTGGGTTTGTGCTCTGTAGCCAGGTTGTTTCTGTGATGTTTAAAAGGGGGGAAAACTGTCAAAAATTCTGGCCATAAGTAAACAAAGACATTTACTCAGATGGATCCCATGTGTTAGGAATGAAGGTGCTCTTTTTACTTTTGCCATTCCCAAATAAGCTGCTGCTGTTCCAGCTACCAGGTGCAGCAATGAACACTAAAACACTTTCAAACTAAGACTAAAACCCCAGCAGAAGCAGCAGCAGCAGCAGTAGCAGACAATGATGTTTTAATAATTTACTGGTCAAAACTTGAAAGCCAGAAGCCACTGGTTACAAATATTCATTTTGCCTAGTGGCAGCACAGAGTCCTGGGACTTTGGATGGAGTGAGTGTACTGCAGGCAAGCAAGGACTCTGCCAAGCCACACTCCTTAACCCCAGCTGAAAACCTCCACAATCCTGGCTTCTAGCTTTGCTTTTGAAACCTGGTAATGTGCAGCTGGAAATGGGGAAAGAGTTTTGATATTAGGTCATCTTTTTCCCAGTAAGGAAAGGATACTGGACTCAGGAGAAGCTTTTTAGCTTGGTAGCTTAAAAAACATTTTATTCTCACTTATGGAGAAAGCTAATGGATTTTAGGGGGCTTGTAGAGGTTTAACACACAGTGGAAGTGTGCCCTGTTGGGCACATGGTAGCAGTTTTCCTCATCCCTTGAAGTAATCTATAACCAACCAGCAACCCTGAGCACATGTATCAAATACCTTTTCTGCACAGAAGATGAAAATTCTGCTAAAATTAGCCACAATTTAGAGCTGACTGTAGCCAAGGCAGGGTGTAATAAATCACTAGAAGAGTGATGCTGCATTTGAAAATAAGACTAAAATAAGACAGAGAAGCCATAATGAGCTGTTTGGGGTTTGTTTTTCTAAATACCATAGAAAAATTATTTTTGGAGCAAGTATTACCTTACTTTTGAGATATTCTATTTTTTCCTCTACAATATGAACAAATTACAAATCCTTGGCAGTTTCACCTCCAAGAGCTGGCTGTTAGTCTCAGGGAATTTAAATAATACTTTACATACTTCTGTGGAAAATAAGAAGGATTACTGCCTACAGCCATATGATAAGACTTTCCATCTGCTCTTGTTTCTCAGGGCTTGTCCTCAGGCATTTCAGAGAGCGTGGAAGGGGGGTGGTTGGTTCATAGTCAAGCAATCCATGTGACTCTGGGGTAAAGACTTATGAGGAGGTTTGTGTTTAAGAAACAGAAATACATTTTCCTTCTCAAGAGTCTTCTCCTTCAGCACTTCAGAACCCCCTGCGAAATGCTGAGGGGATGTTTCTACTCACTGACAGCTGTGGTTTCAGACCATGGATATCTGTGGCAGAGCTGAGTTTCTGGGCTCTCTGCTTGCTGAGTTCCACAAAGGCCTTTACTGTGTTCCCAGTAGTGATCAGGTTGTTTTCCTTCCCCACAGGAGTGCGAGACCTTTGAGAAGTGCTGCCCCAATGTCTGTGGAACCAAGAGCTGTGTGGCTGCTCGGTACATGGACATCAAGGGGAAAAAGGGGCCTGTGGGGATGCCCAAAGAGGCAACCTGTGACCGCTTCATGTGCATCCAGCAAGGCTCAGAGTGCGACATCTGGGACGGGCAGCCTGTCTGCAAGTGCAAGGACAGATGTGAGAAGGAGCCGAGCTTTACCTGCGCCTCTGACGGGCTCACCTACTACAACAAGTGCTACATGGATGCGGAGGCCTGCATCAAAGGCATTACACTGAACGTGGTCACCTGTAGGTACCATCTCACCTGGCCAAACACCAGCCCCATCCCCCCAGAAACAACGGCTCGCCCTACCACCGCCTACTCCGAGACAACAGTCGTCGATATCCTGCCACCTGCGCTGGTGAACAACCCTGTCCGTCAGTCCGTCTACGTGGGAGAGACCGTCAGCTTCCTCTGCGACGTCTCGGGGAGACCCAAGCCAGAAATCACATGGGAGAAGCAGGTCGATGGGAAGGACAAAGTCATCATGAAGCCAAACCACGTCAGAGGGAACGTCGTGGTCACCAACATCGCCCAGCTGGTCATCTACAACACGCAGCTGCAGGATGCAGGAATCTATACCTGCACTGCCCAGAACAGTGGTGGCCTCCTCCGGGCAGATTTCCCTTTGTCAGTCATCAGAGGAGAGCCCACATCCAAGGAAGCTTCCCAGAACAAAACACATTTCCCAACCGACGAGTGCCTGAAGCAGCCGGACAGTGAAGACTGTGGGGAAGAGCAGACCAGGTGGTACTACGATGCCAAGAAAAACAACTGCTTTACTTTCATCTATGGGAACTGCAACAGCAACCTCAACCACTTTGAGACCTATGAGAGCTGCATGCTAACGTGCATGAATGGCCCCATCAACATCTGCAACCTGCCTGCCCTTCAAGGGCACTGCAAGGCCTACGAGCCCAGGTGGGCCTACAACAGCTTGACAAAGGAGTGCCAGTCCTTTATCTACGGCGGGTGTGGAGGCAATGAGAATAACTTCGAGAGCCGGGAGGCCTGTGAGGAGATGTGCCCCTTCCCAAAGAACACGCACTGCAAGGCCTGCAAACCCCGCCAGAAGCTGGTGACCAGCTTCTGCAAAAGCGACTTTGTCATCCTGGGCCGCATCACGGAGCTGACCGAAGACCAAGACTCTGGACACGCCCTGGTGACGGTGGAGGAGATTCTCAAGGATGAAAAAATGGGATTAAAATTCCTGGGGAAGGAACCACTAGAAATCACGCTTTTGAACATGGACTGGAGCTGCCCATGTCCCAACATGACCACAGTGGATGGCCAGCTGATCATCATGGGGGATGTCCACAATGGCATGGCCATCCTACAGCCAGACAGCTTTGTGGGCACCTCCAGCATCCGGCGTGTGCGCAAGCTCCGCGAAGTCATCCACAAGAAAACCTGTGAGCTTTTGAAAGAGTTCCTGGGATTGCATTAACCTCCCTCACATGCGTGAGCTGCCCTGATCCGTGTGTTAGTAGGGCTAACAAGTGCTAGGCTAGTGCCAAACTAAACACACTGTTTGAAGATACACTGTAGGAATTATGTGGAACCCCTATTTTAATCCATTAATGATGCTTAGCAACAAAATAGTTTGGTCTTTGGCAGGCATGTAAACCAGCAGCAAAAGGCCATTAATCTTGCATTGAAATCAATTTCTCCACATAGGAGTGCCATTTAACTAGGTGACTCACTTCAGCAATTATAAAACTTTTATCTAGCTTCCATCATAAATGACAGAATTCATAGCGTTTGTTTGGCTACACAGCTAAGAAATATATAATGCCAATTTAATCTGTCTCAGTTTCAGTCTGATTCGTTGTTTTAAGTCACACGCTTGGCTTCTTACAGCAGCACTAATATTTCAAGAGAAAAGCCTATAAATTATTGTCTCTATTTACAATTGTGCACATTTAACCAACCTATGCATGAGTTAGCTTCTTTTAATTGCAATTTTCCTTTTTTTTTCCTTTTAAAAACCTCATTTTTAAATGACAGCTACTACCTATCTTGCAATCCTTACTGAAGAACAAACTCCCTTGATCCTATGCCCAGGACAGCAGGTCACTGTAAAAGCTCAAGGCACAGTGTCACCAGAACAAGGTCAGAAAACACCCTCATTCCCTGTTTAAGTTTCAATCAATATATTGTCTATCACAAAATTCCAAGCCAGGTCAGCAGTGTGCTGCCAGCTGTCTTGCTTTTGAAAAGCCTTTACACCTGAGCATACATAGTGATTTATGGCTTCTTTTCAGTAGCAATCCTGCTTTTATAGATGAGAGAGCAAAGTAAGAAGAGTCAGAACAAAATTCAGCCTAGGAAAGAGCAATACACAGTCTGCAAACTGCATTAGGCAGACACAAAGACCCTGAATCTGAACTGCACAAATACAAGCAGACAAAGTAGACAATTTAAAGGCTTTTATCAGTGTCACCCTTTTAGAGCCTTTTCAGAGTCTTTCAAACCTCAGAATACTCTTTCCACCAGGCCACTGTGTACAAGTGTATGAATGAATTCCCTAAGACAGCCAGCACGGGCTGTGGGTGGGAGCAGGTGAGTATGCATAGGATCAGTCACTTTAACATTTGTGTGTCCAAAAAATATAATATTTGCCTGGACAAAATGCTTAAATAAAGAAAAGGCTGATCATGGAAACATCCTGCCTTGCTGAGGACTGTGATTGCAGGGAAGAGGGGCGAACGTGGCACAGTGAGCCTTGTCCCTGCTCCTTGTTCTGTGGGCTCAGCCAAGTGACTGTGGCAGGGATTTAAGCTTGCTGCCCTACACAAAGGGCCAGTTCAAAGCTGTAGAAGTGTCAGAACATGTCTGGGTGAGAAGAAGGAAGGGAGGAAGAGAGGCAGGAAGGTGCAGGCAGTGCTGCCCCATGGTGCCATCTAACGAGCTCGCTGCAGGGTGGCCAAGGCTGGCAGTGGGTTCACTGCTGCAGTCTGTGTGGGGCTAGCTATGGCAAGGGCTGGGGAAGGAGATTAAACAGGCAGATATTGGACATCTGCAGCCCCCAAAGCCTGTGCATGGTGAGTGCTTGGTTGTTGCAGGGAGGAAAACTCACAGCAAGAGAAACTGTATTGGATGTGAGCCTAGCTCTGCTTCCCCTAATTCCACGCTGTGCACCAGAGCAGGGCCATGGGTAGAGACCACTGCAGGATGGAGAACTGGGCTCCTCTCCCAGTGGTTTGGTCTTGGTTTATTTCTGAAATGTTCATGAAACAGTAATGGATCTAAATCTCCAGTTATTTGGGTAATTTCATAAGAAGCTGCATGGGAGGGAGAGAGAGGAGTCTGGACCAGGCTTTACTGACCAAGAAAGTATCTGCTGGGTTTTTTGTTGTACCTTTCCTAAGTGAATGTGAAAAAAACCTCCAATTAAAGGCCCATAATGTTTGTGTATGTTCTTGTGGAGACCATTTTCTGCAGATGGGAGATGCTAGCCCTGCTGCCCTCTGAAGAAGCCAGCATGTCCACCAGATCATCCCTGGCTGTGGCAGCCACCACTGACCCATGGCTCATCTGCCATTTTTTGAGCAACCTGTAGGAAGTGGCATGTTCTTGCCATACTGACACAAAGGTTTTGGAGGCTGAAGGTTTAATAAAGGCAGGGTTTGTATGGGTCCTTTTTTCCCTAAAGTTAGGGGATTTTGTAAGTGTGGGCATGTTGAAGTGACTCAGGAGTGTTGGAATGACTTGGGAGACATGGAGCTGGTTGTTCAGAAGATCTGGGATGCAAACGCAGCTGGGAGCAGAAAGCAGAGGATTCATTGCTGCTCTAGCTAGCACAGTGCATTGCTGAAGCCTTGGCTCAAAAGTGCTTTATTGGTTTTCCCCCTGAGAAGGCAGCAGGCACCCAGAACATGCAGCATGCACCTAGAACATGCAGCATGCAAGTTCTCTGAGGCACTGGGAGCCTGTGCAAGATGTCAGGTGTCTGCCAGCCCCCTTGGGGCACACAGGCCTGGTGTGCGAGGGTTTTCCTGCACAGGGGATCCTGTGGGACACTCTGGGTCAGTTTTCCAATGTGGTGGGGTGAGATGGACACTGAACAGACCAGCCCAACTCCCTAACACAGCACAGCCACTCTTGTGTAGCTCCTGCCCAAACCTGGTGACATGGTCCTGTGAGCCCCTTGGGGTGCCCCTGGCTGTGCACAGAACCATCACGGGTACCCTGAGGCAGAAGGAGCAGTGCCACAGGCATCCCTCACCTGCTCATCAGGAAAAAAAAATGTTCCTGTGAGTGCTGGGAGCACCACACCTCCCTGTGGCATGGGACTGACCCCAACCCCAAGCTCTCCACCTTCTGACCTTGAAGAATTCAGCTCTCCATTCAAAGCTAGTATTTTAGCTCAGCCTCTTATTAAACACTTGAGAAGCTTAAAATTCAAGCCTGACCAGTCCAGCAGCCCAGGGACACTCCTGCACGGGGCCACTGTGAGGATGTTGCTCCACCTTTCAGGACTAATGGGCACGTGCATGTGGCTCCCCACCAGGAAGTCCTTTAGTGTTGCTCATGAGCTCAGGTTCCATCTTGTTCTGTGGGGTCTTTCTCTCAGGTTGTCAGAAAGCTGGAAGGAAATGCCAGTATTTAGTTTATATAAAATGTATGAGAGGAGAGAGAAAGGGAAAAGCTTCCTTGAGTCCTTTGCCTGCGTGGCTGTGGGCTCAGAAGGAGCATCAGTGCCTGTGTGAGGCTCCAAGGAAGATCTGGGGCATCAATGCCACCTCCAAAGCCATATGGCTGTGGCAATGACCTGATGTCAAAGCTTTCCTCCACATGAAGACAGGAAGGAAACAGCATTCCCCACAGATGCTGACTCAGGAAGCAACACAGAACCATAGAATCACTAAGGCTGGAAAACACCTCCTAAAATCATTGAGTCCAACCAAGAAGCTGGGAACAGACCCATTGGCTGGGCCTGAGACCTGCAAAAGTTCCTCAGGGCTCAGGGATGGATCTGATGGACACTTGACAGCCCTGAACCAGTGTGAGGTGCCCACTTCCCTCACTCCCAACCTGAAGTGAGGATGAGAAATGCCGCCCCCGAATCTGCAAACCCTGCAGCTGGACGGGCACCATGCAGCAGCTGGATCCCAACAGGAGCCACGGGTGGTTGTGTCTCACTCTGTGACAGGGAACAAGCAGCAGCAGCAAAGCAATGCTGTGTGGCTGCTGCACACAGATTGCACGTGGGGCTGGTGCCACCCAGCACTGGTGGCACACAGGCACACACAGCGTGAGGAGCTGCACGCACGGAGAGCTGGCTGGTGATTACTCAAAGACAGATACTGCATCCCACAGCGCCCAGAGCTGCTGAGCTCAAAGCAAAGAGGCAATTGAGCATGTTCTCATTGCAGGGGCTCCAGATGAGGTCAGGCAGAAGATTTATTGGGCAACCAATTCCAGAACGAGGCGCAAACAGCGGTGATGACGCCACTGGAATATGATTCAGACAGCAAAGGTATTTAAGAGCTCAGTTTCCGCTTGTTTTAAAAGAAATTAGGGACCCCTGCAAGAATTCCCCCCTGGCCATGGGTCTCTGTTCCTGAGAGAGGTGATTGTGATGAAGGTCATACACGGCTCCAGCTAATTCCTAATGATTTCCTGGAAAAGGAGAATTAATTCAGCTGGCACCAAATAAGCACCTTGCACCACAGGACCCACTTCCTCCACCTGAAGCACCTTGTGCCCCAGTTGGCTGTAATTTGTGCACGTGCATGTGCTAGGAAATTCTCCCTGTAGATAATTATCAGGAAAAGATCACGGGCAGGCTGGTACCTCCAATGAGGCTGGATGGAGCCAGATTTTAAAGGCACAGCCGTGAAAATGTCAGCCTGAGCAAGAACATCCAGTTTAGAGCCTGTTTTAATCCCTAGTATTTAGTGTTTTCCCCTCTACCAGGACTGGTTACTGATTGACTACAACTGACCTCCTGCTGCTGTATTGATTTACAGCAGCTGTCAAAGGGCAAAAAATTAGCCCCATGCCCAAGACCTGAGAACTACTAAATGGAGGTTGCACAACTGAATAAATGTTCTGCCAGCACTTTAAATCTTGGAAAGAAAAAGTCAGGTTAAGGTCCTGATCTCCAATGCAAACAGCAGTGGGGCCTGAAGATAAGGCTGCAGCACTGGACAATGTATCTACTAGCCAGAAAGCAGCACAGGCTGTTTAATTCTCAGCTATTTATGGCTAGGCAAATGATATGACATTTAGACCTCAGAGTTTAGAAAGCAAATGGAATGTCTTCCAAGGGCTGATAGGTGGGTCAGATTTCAGTGAGGAAACTCTCTAACTCTGGTATTTTTCTCTGTGCCCATCCCTACATCCACCAGCCCAAAGATGTTGGGGGTCTCATCCAAACCTCTGGCTTATTGGTGGACACAGACCTGCACGTGCCAGGGACCAGCTGTGACAAAGGCAGTGAGAGTTGAATGTCCACATTTCAGAATTATAAGGAAGTTTGGGGTGGGGATAAGCCTCCCCAGACCCCTGGCACTGTCCCCTGGGGCAGGAGACTGGTGATCATAGGATGGAAAGGGCCACTGGGCTTGTCCCACCTGGCAATTACTAACCCCTCTCATGTGTCCCAGATATGCAGGAGGGAAGGAGAAGGGAAAGAGGGAAAGATTCCTCCAGAGGAGAGAGGGGGAGCATTTTTTTCACCTTAAACTGGTTTTACAAGGTGACAGTTGGTCAGGATTACCTGGCATAAAAAGAACTACCATAAAGGTTTTTGTGCCTTCTCTTTCTCCTTTGCTCTGCCAAGGGAGGACTGTAACACGTCACTACTTCATCTACTGCTTGAAATAAACAGGAAAACAGTAGTAATAAATCTCCAGGATCAGATGGTTTTCACCCAAGGGTAAAAGTACTTACATAAAACATTGCTTAACCATTAACTGA